GTGATGAGTCGATATGAGACGTGAAAGTAGTAAAGAATTTACTTAAATATGTTAATGAACATAAAATTTATACCAACGACTACACATATAAACAATGAGAGTAAGCATATACGGTTAAAGTTATAGTTTCTGCAGCACAAGAGGTTGATATTATTCCAATGTTATTGACTGGTAGAGATATTCCTTTCGAAGCGGCAAACTACTCCATTGTGATCCATTTGGCAGCGAACGATAAAATAGCGGTGAATCGCGTGACAGCTTCAATTTTGCGGCGAATTCCTCGATGATTAGATATTCAGGACACTATACCGATGAAATGAGGATGTTCAGCGAAGCTGTTGCCACCTAAGTTTGCAGTGTTGTTCCGAATGAATTGGTAGGCTGCTTTGTAAGGACCTCTACATGGGATCAACAGAGCCGTGACTAACAACCTCAGCGGGCTTTTTTAATTGAACAATGGCGGCAACCGTAGAGGCCTTCTAAACAACGGGAAGACGCGTGGGAAAATGAAACCAGCGTACAGTCTTTATGAGAAATAAAAGAGCCCTTATACATTTAGCAGCTATAGAGGGCGAATCGTAAGCATAATTGGTGCCACTAGAGCCGCACATGAAAGGAACAGGTGGTTTAAAATGCACATAATGTCACTAGGCCCCTCAATGGGCTAACATATGGATTAAACCAAAATCATGCGTGGAGAGTTATTTTAAAATTCCACTTACCTAATGTTAAGAATGGAATAATAAATTTGCCACGACGTGAGTTGACTGCGAGTTTACTTTAGATTCGAGATCTTCGATGAAAACAGTTTCGAGCAATTATGCGTCAACTACGCCAACGAAATACTGCAGCAACAATTTAATCAGGTATGATAAAAATAGTTAACATCGGCTCATTGTCATGATCCTCGATCGCACTTATCTTTCTTTGCCTGATATTCATTCCATTACACTTTTTACTGCTGATATTTTCGTTTGTGATAGCCAAGGCATAGGAGACCTAAAATACCTGTTATTTTCCAATCGTTATCTCGGTAAATTTTGTAATAAGCAAGTTGCTTTAGTCTACCATAGATAGGAGAATGAGAGAGACGAAACAGCTTCAGAATTTAAGACACTTCTGTTATTTCAGCATGTGTTTAAACTGGAGCAGGAGGAGTACGTTCGGGAAGGCCTTGAATGGTCATTCATAAGCTTCGTCGATAACCAGCCGTGCCTGGATCTACTCGAAGGACGCCTCGGCATATTCGATCTGCTTGACCAGGAATGCAGGGTAGGTCGTACACACGAAGTGACCCCTACTGCATTTCTGTGTAAATGGCAAAACTTTCAGTTAACAACATGTAACGACGAAAATTGGCTGAACATCATGATTAATTCCAAGACTTGTAATCGTTCCGAGCACTTTTCTTTTCCGTTGGTACGCAGCCAGCAGAAGAACTTTATCGTACGCCATTATGCGTCCCCTGTCACCTACCTCGTCAGTGGCTTCACGGCAAAAAATCTCGACACCATCAACCTGGAGCACATAAATCTTTTGAAAAGCAGCAAAGTAAGGTTGAAAGTACACTCAAATTTATAACCTCTAGCCTTCAGCTACCTCTGATCAGTCAAATTTTGCTCGACGATTGCGCTAAGGTGCGGCCCAAGTCCGAAGTGTCGAAGTCACGCAACCTTAAGCATACTGTAGCCTTTCAGGTACGACTGGTGTTTCGGTACCCTGCTTCATACATTGGCATTCGATTGTCCTCATTTCAGTTCAGACAGTCGTTGCGGGACTTGAAGAAGATCCTTGACTCGACAATGCCTCATTACGTCCGATGCATCAAACCGAACGACCACAAGTTGTCGTTGACGTATCAAATCCGTCGAGCCTCTGAACAACTCAATGCATGCGGCGTTCTAGAAACAATTCGAATATCCGCTGCCGGATATCCGTCAAGGTTTGCCAAACTCTCTTATACGCTATAAAACTGCCTGGCTGTTTCAAATTCAATCAGTTACGGTTTGACTTCGGTTTTACTTAAGCTGTTCAGAGTCGCACAACATGCATAAAGCAGTGAAATATTTCAGTTTAGTTAAATTTGATTCACATAAGCATCTCGCAAGAAAAATCAGACGGCGGTTATGCATCTTCTGATTCACATTTAAACAAACTGAGGTAATCAGTTAATAAGTCAATCAGTCGGTCAGGCAGTCAGCCAATCGGTGAAATTTACTTAAGCAAACCCTAAAGCACAATAAACGGTCAAAACCCTGGACATAACAAAGAACAAATATTGGTAAAATCCGCAGTGAAACTGGACCAGGACATTTTCGATGAGGCATCTGATTGTGATCATATGCTGGTAGCTGTCAAAAGTGAATATCTTTTGCCCGGAGTACTTGTGATGTCTTGGAAATGGGAAAGAGACCCGGCCCCGTCCGGTAAAGTGAGATGGTATCTTCAAACTCACATGTGATGTCCTCCTTGGTCAAAACCTCACGAAATGCTCAGCTTCTCTGAATCCGTTCGGCTATATGGAAGTTGAATAGACATCGTACAACAAATGGACGGCTTCTTATTTTCATCATACCGGGTGTAAGGATGCTAAAGAACTGGTTGATTATTCCAATCCTGATTCTACTGTTCCCACTGTGATCCCAATCATCTGCTGTACTAGATCGTTTTTCTTTTATCGAGATATCTATAATTTCACCATAATTTATGGCTTCAATCTGTTTAATTTTCATCGTCCACGCTCTTATTTTTCTCTGAAAAGTTTTTCAGTCGTTTTAGTGCCCGTTGCCTGTCTCAGATCATGATCGCGTCTTGAACATTGAATGCTAATGCTTGTTTGTTTCTGATTCACAGTCTTGCACGTGACCTTAATGCTTTGTCGGTCTTTATCGCCTTACCAATTTGTTGTTGAGTGAGGAAACACCTGATTTATGCGCTTCTTAATCGAAAAGTATACAAAAAGCTTTTATTTATGCACAACGCAAGCAAATTGGTGATTGGCCAACATTTTGGTTTCGTTTTATAAATAATCCGGGTTTAAATCGTTATATTCCAGTTTTCAGTATAAACATCAACGCACGAACAAATTACTCAATCCTCGGATACATTTCCATATTTTAGTAAAGTTCTACACATTTGATATTCGACTTCTGATCCGTCGTTGCCTCCATGTTCCTTCTGCGCTTCTGGAGTTCTTTGGTTTACTGTACATTTATGAACCACCGTTGGAAGTTCTTTCTCCATCTGTGCTTTTTGCCGTTTCAATAACTGCAGTGATTATCACCTGAAAACAGCATAATGTATACAACGCAAACAATATGGTCAATTGGGTGATCGACCAGCACTGACGTTCTAACCCGTATCTCATGGACCTTTTTTAAGGTAAAGAGGTGAGTTAGCTTCGATCTTCTTGTCGTAGTCTTGTAAAATGTAGAACAGGAAGACGAGCTCTTGGCCCGTGCTGCTGGTTCAGAAGCTTCTCGGCAACAGGAGCGACAAGACTTCTCGATCCGCGCAGAATTTGCAACCTTAGTCATTGTTGACGT